CGCTATTGGTAGAATCAAATATTTTTTGATTAAGAACAGTGTTCCAAGCTTTTGTGAAGCAGCCTTTGCAATTCCAATGACATGATTGTGCCAAGACATTGTCCGTGTTAGGAATCACACATTACAAGGTGAGACCTCGTTAGTCCTTAGCTCGTACAAGTTTCTCAACTTCTGAGAGTTGTTGCTCGTATGGGGGCGACAGTGATTAACGGAAAAACATATTTCAAACAGACAGAAACAGATTTCAACTTCATTTTTCTTCATTTCAGAGGAGTAACACCCGTGAATATCAGAAATTACATTACAACCATGAAAAATTAAACGATTTTTTTCTATAACAGTTCTTATTTCAGTGACGAGTGTACGGCCCTGTTTTTACGCATTCCGGCATTTTGGGAAATAAAAACGAGGCTGATTTGCCGGATAATTAGAACCTTCTCCACCGATGACTGCAAAGCAATAAAAAGCATCCTCCTTCATTTGAATAATCTCAGTTAACAAGTGTCTTCCTTGGAAGCACTCCGCTAACAAAGAGATTTCTCAACCGCCGATGAAGTAGGCGTAGGAGAAGAAGTCTTGTGAATTTTTTAAACAATATTCTTTTCGAGTCGCAATTCACCGAGGAATTCTCGGGGCGTACACACAAAGGACAATATTTATTTCTCGGAGTAACAAGTGTAGCCAACCGTGCAGAATTTTCATATAAAGTTGCATTGTGAGATGCGGTCCCCTTTTGAACCCGAATACGCAAGAACTACTCTAAAACCGTTCCGGCCACTTATCTTTTCATATTACATGCATGATTAACTGTGTTATTGAATCGAGTTGTGGAAAACATTACGAAATGCTGGTGAGCATTGTTACCTTTTTCTGTCATAAATATTTTGGTAATTGGGACCGACAGGTTATTCGAAATTTCTTCCTCGCTATTGAAACGAAGAAAAACATAATGTATTTGATGACCAGCCCAAGAAAAAATCAGAAACCAAGAGATGGCACTGTATATGTCAAATGTTTGCTCGAGTAGTGAACCACAAATTATCACAAGCGCGGCTCTGTGGTAGCCATATTATAAAATGATAATCAATTCGTAGTAATATTGGATATATCGGTATCTTTGTAAGGTTAGATTAGAGTGGTGCAGCACGCACATAAAAAATCAGCATTCGTTCTCCTTTTTTCATGAGATTCGTTCCAATAATATTGTTTCCCGAGCGGGTATTCTCGAATCTCTCGTCTTTCGCAACATATGCGCAGAACTGGGCATCGGCAGAGTTGCGCATGATTCGAGAATAGCCCCTTCAAAAGAACAGAGATCGACTCAGAATATTAATAGAATATAGAGGACATCTGAATAAATTGTGGCTGCATATAGAAGACCGTTAATACAGGTAATGGAGAAAAGGGACGAAAGTTCTATATGTTTCATATGAATGTCAGGCACAAGTAATTTATCGACTACTTGAATTACATCCTAATACAAACTATACTATAGTTCTAAATTAGTATGCACTGAATTCTCAGAAATGACTGACGCTTTTGTCTTAATCTGTATCTCGTAGTGGCGTATGGAAACTATACTAAACAGGTGAGGAATTATGATAAAATATATAGAATCACACCTTAGACTACAAAGTTTTCGTATGAATGTAATAATATTTCTGGGAATTTAGTGCCTAGTATTATGGAATTGTACTTTATTGCAGGAAACTCGCTTTTCGCAACATATGCGCAGAACTGTATATCACTGCACATGATTCGAGAATAACTTCTTCTACTACTTTGAGCAGCTCTTTTGATATTCATTTTCTTCTCCAAGGTTGGCCACCAAACCAAAGATGCGTATGTTATCATGGGTTTGACCACCATTGTGTACACAGTTCAATCTTCTTCTTGAAGATGATCAATTGGTGATAGAAACACGTGGTGTTTGAAAATAACGGTTTGGGATGGTGGTGTCTCCCGCTATCATGAATGCCACTTCTACCTCTATTTTTACCCTACCGAGTCAGCTCTGTTTCTAGAATAACTCCTAGATATTTAACATCTCTCAACAATTGCATCTCTTCACATCGGAGTTTCAGCGATTCTAACCACTTTATCTGGGTGTTCGTGGTGGATGTCACCATAATCGATTTGAAAGGATTCCTCACTTCATCTTGACATGATGTTGAGGACCTGCTGCAGGTATCAGAAATACTTTATATACATTGTGCTGCAGAAGACTTCTGTAACAAGGTCCGATTGTTACATAAAATGTTCTTCTAAGCATATATATCTGCAGCTTATCTCGAGCTGAAGTTGCTCTGAGACTGATTCACAGTTTTTGAAGTAAATATTGCGGTCTTTTTTGCAACATTACTCAAAAAATAGAGTTTGATCCAATTCAATATGACTGGGTTATAAATTTTGATTTCTGGACCGGGACAGTTCATCTGGAGAACCTCTATTATAACCACTCTTCCAGATTTCGTGTATTTTTCTGTTATTTGCTCCTAGATTATACTATGGGGACTGAGGTTTCTACGAAAGTATCTAGTAGAGTCTAAGCCCTCTTGTTCGCGATTTTTTTTATTTTTCTAGTGTATCTTTTTCTCAAAATTCCTTGTTGTCTCATTCATTCCAATGATGTATTCCATCGATGACCATCTATTTCTAACAGCTCGTTGTACTTAAATATAACAGTTCTCAATAATCGGTTTGTTGCTAATTCTAGGTAATATACAATTCCTTATTCCAAAGCCCATCCATTATGAGTACATTTCCAGGCCTGTCTTGTTGGTTACCCACTTTGTTTTCTTGAGGTTTTCATAAGGTATGGTCAAGGTGTAATACCCGGTGATTCGAACAACCAACCCTCCTTCCTCTTCCTCTTGAAGATGATTACTTGGTGATCGAAACACGTGTCGAGGTGTTAAAAATAGCGATTTGGTGGTGGGAAAAAACTCCATTAATAGTCATTACTACACCAAAGGTTCCAAACAGTGCATCATAAGTCACCTCATCAAATACATTTAGTTTCGGAACGAAGTTACTTATAATGTAGTACCTACCCACTTTTAAGACTATTTCTTACCAACATCTCTCAGGTCAGGTGGTATACGTAGGCATCAGAACAATTTACGTGCTGAGCTCTGCTGGAAGGTATACTTATTCATTGATCGCTTATCAATAGTCGCTGTCAAAGCCATGGATCCTGTTGCAGAAGCCGCTAAACGGCAGTTCATTTCATCATTCTCAGATGATCATATAATGTTCTTGGGGTCTCTGGGGTCTTGTTATGAACTGGTTATGAATCATTTCCATGAATTTCCTTTATGAGCCCAGGGATCTTGTATAAGAGTAAGATTAAACTTCCCTCCAACTTTCCCCCAACCTCCATAGGAACCGCCGAAGCCCCCTATTTGAAAGTTGGCTAATACTACTCTCAGATAAGTCACTTCTGGAGTCATTTTCCGTCTGTTTACACTTCTGGTTCATTAATTTCCCAAGTGGTTGTGCATATCCATAGTTGCCTGCATGGACGCGATGCTAAGTAGCGTGTGGTCGTCTGATGTCTCAGAAGCTTCAATAGCGATACCACGATGGGGCCTAGGTACCTTTCATCTTTCGACAAAAATCCCATAACATAATTTTATCAAGTCCCTTTTCAGTTGAGTAACAGGTAAGGGATACCGCGGACTAAGACACCACTCTCGCAGTTGAATCACCGACAAGCAGCATAACCAGAAAAATGTGTAGGTTTGTAGGGGAAGATACAGTTTTGAAAATCTCTTGTCGATCTGCTGGAGAGAAGAAATAACCCTTTTGTCAATATACGTCGTAGGTACGCCAATGCGTATTTTTTAATTTAGTCGGCAGGTAATGGGTGTAAAAATAAAAGTAGGTACACCAATGCAATAACCAATAAGTCTTTACAGTACGTCGCTGTAACCTCACGATATGGTTGAAGGTCGACGGACAGCATGATAATTTGACGTAATAATGTGGCAGGTCACTGAAATTCGGCGTCAGCCTCTGGCGGGTACACCGATTGGGCGTTAGGGGCTAATTTTTTATCAGTTTCTGCCACAGTATTTGTACTGAATGGTAAATTCGGTGAACCTGTACAGTAAAGAGTCTACGAAAAACTTGATAAAATGTACCATTAGATACCATAAAACGAACAAATGTGTTTTTCTCCAGTTTCTGGCAAATTTATATAAAAGTCCATGGCCGCGATAAACTGAAAAAATACCCAACGAATTCCCACACGGTTTTCACCAATGTACGAAGCGATAGATCTCAAACATGTCCTAGACGCCATACAATATCAAAACAATGTTATTTTTCAATTAATAAATGAGTTATTCCCTTTATGGATTTCACGTACATTACAACTGGCCTGTACCTAATATCTGAGGAGTTTTCGAAAATTGAAACTATCGCGCGATAAAATAAATTCAAGTCGACTGACAAACCGGTGCAACAAGTTTTATTTTTGTTTTGTGTTTTCTTTAGGTATTCTAAAAGTGAGCAACCTTTGGTTATGCGAATTTTAACTAAGGTCATTACATTATCATTATTATAATTAGTTACTAGCCGTGGTACCAGACGTCGCTTAAGAACTTGATGTGAGATTGTGTAGTAGTTGGAATAAAAGGATAAACCTCAACGGTCGACGAATCTTGCTTTATATACCCCTACCTTTGGATTGTCACACTCATACAAAAACGACTTCGAAGGTCTACAATGTTCCAGAAAATTTCACAGCATTCGAAACTGATCGGGATCGTTTCACAATAACCAGGAATGCTCCAGGGTGTTCCCGAAAGTTCCAGATCATTCCACAATATTCCAGAATGTACGGTTTTGGCTCTTCGGATGAAAACAGGAGTATTTCAAGTGTCCAAAAAAGCTATACGAATAATTGACAATGTTTGTTTCAGTTACTCTTGCAGAAATTTTATCTTTTCATGGACAAGCTGATGTGACTGTGACAGAAAAAAAATGTAGACATGTAGGTTGTGAACTATTTACCTTCCATAAGTCTATGAATAATCAATACAGATTCATTTAACATCACGTGAATGGGTGATTTGTATAAAATAAAAACGTTTTTTTTAGCAGAAGACTCTTATTTATAACATTTCTTGATGTTTTCTGGTTCTCTTACCTTCCACAATCTGAAAAATGAATAAATTGATGTCAATAGAGAATATGCTCAAGTGTTAAAAAAAAAGAAAAGAATGAGTATATCCCACTTGAAATGAAACTGATATGAAATTACTAAACCATAGAATCACAAATACCAAACTCTCGTTAAAAACTTGTTTACAAACTTTCATATAGTAAGAGTTAAATAATGAAAGAAAAATGTACAATCCCTAACATTAAAATGTGTGTGTGGATGGAAATCCTGTTAATCAAGTTGTTGTTTCAATACTCATCACAGGGAATCCGAATCTAGATATATACCTTTATGTTTTTGTGGTTGAAGTCAATCTTTTGATGTTTAAGCAAATCAAGGAACAATGTGTTACGTCAGATAACCAATTTATTTACCTACAACAGTATAATATGCTTCGAAGATGCATTTTTTACCCCAGTGAAGGGGTGGTTGAATGACATTTTGCATGCTCAATTCCCCTTACAGTTTTTTTAATAAGAAAATGGGTCTAGCTGTCACATCTTGCGAAAATGTTCCTCTATCTGCCATGTGAGGTCGAAACTTCTCTAGGGAGAGTAGAAGGGACACTTAGAAATTGCAGTCAACGATGAAGGTGCTGAATCTGCTAGAAATTACCAACATTTTCAGTGGGAAATCGAACGGAATACGAAGAAAACATATCTGAGAAGACACACTTGGAAAAAACTGCTTCGAAAAAGAGCAGAGATCGGCTCATATCATCAACAGAACTATCCAGTGAATATGTTATTAGAAAAAGGCACTATACCTAGGAGATGGCTTCCAAAAAGCGGCAAGAAGATGTTGACTTGTTCTTTATTCCATTACTAGATAACACTGGTCCTTGACTGTTTTGCATCTTTCAAAAAAATAATTTTGTAACTCCTTGAAGACTGAAATTAAGTATATATTGGCTGCATCACGTCTTTCCATTTATACTTCAAAAATACTTCTCAAAAATAACGATTTTGATGAAATACAATGATCCATAGCGGACAATGTAGTAAATGAAACAAGTGAAGAAATATATAAAAAAATCTGAAAATTCAACTCAAAGAATGAAATCCAACAAGTGTCTAGTAAAATCAAACAAACAACAAAGTTCCGTTCGAAAACATTTTTACAGAACCAAATTTATCCTATGCTCATTTTATTTGGAACGCCCTGTACGAACTAGAAATGTTTCACGCCTTGTTCGTCGCTACGCGTTGCACGATTGCTTTATCGAAAATCTTTATTTGGATTTTTGTACGCAATTATTTCAAAAATTGTAGTCATGAAGAATTTCGACCATCGAATTAGATGGAGAACAAGATTACCAAATGTCGCAATAGAATGAGATTGTGAATCGTCCACGACCAGCTCCATCATAGTAATTAGCCATAATTTGAACATGTAATGATAGAGAGGCACATGTTCGGTGAATTGTCACGATTTTAACTGAACATCGAAATTGATCTTTAGGTAGTGAACGGAAATTTTGAGGCTGACCGCAGAGATGACAGTTACGGAAATAAGAATGAGCTTTGAGTGTACAGGGTGTTAATTTCGTGAGGAGAACTAACGTTCTGAGATTTGGAATTCACTTGAACTTTTTATTTTTTTATTCTATGTACACAATGTCGAAAAGGATTGTATTGAAATAATAAAATGAATCAAAAAACCTCTGAAATCACTACCGAAAGAAGACATGTTTCAAGAAGGAAATTCATCTTTTAGGAATTTCCATCTTCAACAATCTGAAGAAAATAATATCTAAATATAGGAAAATTATCAGACACTACAAGTTACTGACAAAAAGGACATTTTTCTTTGTGAGAAATTTAAGTATCAAATCAACCCAAAACTGTATCAGAATGTTGTTATAATAAATCTACCATTCGATACATCACCTGTTGATTCAACAGCTTTTTCCACGATTTGTTGAGTAACTGATAGTAATGAAAGTAATGGTTCATTTCCATTTAAACTGTAAGTTGACTCATATTTGAATGAAAAAAAGTTTGAAATCTTCAATTGCATCATTTCATTTCTACCTTTGTTTTCTTTACCTGAACAAAAACTAGTATGTTGCAATTCACGGTACTGCGACAACACCATGAAGTGAGTCTATACCAGAATACCGAATTACAGTTGGATCCCACAACAACAACTAAATTGTTAGGAGTTACCTTTGATAACAACTTGCAGTGGAAGCCACAAGTAGATAATTTGTGTAAAAAGCTCAGAAATTCTTGTTATTCTCTCAGGTATCTCTCCACTCACTGCAGTAAAGAGATTCTACTTAAGCTTTATTATGCGAATTTTAATTCTCACCTCAGGTATGGAATACTGAACTGGGGCACAAGATCCTCTGTGAATCGAGTGTTCATGATACAGAAGCATTGCTAAGTTAGGATTTAGGGAGTCCTGTAGGGGAGCATTTCAGAATTTAAAAATATAACAGTTGCAGGAATAAACATACTTGAGGCATGGACATATCTATACCGCAATAAAAACAAATTGGCTACCAACAAACTCTCACATACCCATTTGACACGAAATGGTCACTTATAATCCAGCCAACATCGAACTGCTCTCTACCAAAAAAGTTTTCACTATCAGGGATGCAAACTATATAAAAAACTTCCCGACGACATTAAAGTTTCAGGAAATGTCCATATTTTCAAGAGAAAAGTTAAGCAACTCTTATTGTCAAAAAACTGCTACACCAGGAGTTTCAACCGTAACATTATTTCCATGTGAGGTACACGGTTAATATACACCTTTTTTATTTATGCAAACGAAGAATTGGGAAGTAATATATGTTATATTTATACTTTATATTATTTTTAGTAATAGTTTGTGACGTGGATGTCCTATACATATCCAGAGATATTTAATTATTCTAGTCATTTCATATGTATATACATTTTCTTATATCATTTGTCTACTTGAATTTACTGACGTTTTTCGTTTTTTTTTGCATTATCACAATGCTGATGTGCAAACTAATTTGTGGAAATAAATAAATTACTATTATTATTATTATTATCATATTGTTTTCAACCTCGTACGTCCCATTCAAAGCGCACAACCACAGAATGGGGTATTCCTTCACGTAGTGAGGTGAATTGATGCACTCTGTAAAATTGGGTCGCGGGGCGAACCACAGGGTGTTCGAAAAATTATCGACGAGACAGCAGGAAGCACCAAAATAGGCCCATCAGTGTTGCTCAATTTTTCATACACCTCCGAATTATCATTTGTGAGAAATGAGTCGCGGACGGGCAACTAACAAAGGAAGACTCTTGGTAAAAACAGGGGAGCGCCATGCAATGGTTTAGCTCTTGTCGAAACACTAATTCGCCGACAAGCCGCAGACAACGGGATGGTTACCAGGTGAGCAAATATTACCGAGGTGATTTTTTTCATTCAGCTTGTATGGTTTCACATGCAACATTGAAATAATCAGCATGATTATAATTGAAGGGGTATATACGAAACTAGCGAGCCGCCTCGGCTCCGTACGGGAGCAATGCTGATACTAAATATAAATTCACCCACCGGAAATTCAAGGGCATGAAGGGATAATTTCGTTACGTGGACGCACCTTTTTTCCCCGCGGCCGGCGCTCCAGTTGGAATATTTAAAAATCCCTTCTACAACAACATCTACAACATAAAACGAACCTACATACAAATTTTCAGCCTCCAAGAATATAGCAGTACGGCGAAACAGTGATGAAAAAGTAATTTTCATATGTAAACGCGCCCCTTCCATTCCCAGACGGGCGCCCCAGTTGGAAATTCCAAACATCTTTTTTTATTGCACATCCACAATATAAAACGAACCTACATACAATATTTCAGCCTCCGATAATACAGCGGTACGGCGAAAAAGTGATGAAAAAATGATTTACATAGATATATACATACTTTATTTGACTACGTTCATATAAATTACATTTGTAGCAAGTCATAATACAAAAATTAGAAAAAATTGGATTTGAATATAATTGCATTTGTATTTTCAGAAACAAAAAAAAATTATGGAGTCAGTCAGAAAAACTGAATATGCAGCATGAACCATCAAACTCAACAAAAGATCCTCTACGTTGATTCAAATTTGCCAATCTCTTGTTTTGAACATGCATTTTATATTGTTTCAAATAAGAGAATTTTCTCTAAATAACATTTGATTTCATTCACCGAATTCATTTTTTATTGAAAGATAGAAGTACTTATAGTTTCGACAATAAATTATAATACAAAAAATACCAAAATAGGCACCAGTAGGTTTGAAAAAGTTTCTATATGTGACAGCCACTTTCTGATTTCAACATGTAAAAGTATTTGTTGAATTCCGAAACGTCTTTGCTTTCTGTAATCACTTCATAAATGTTTTTATGTTATTCATTGGGAACAAATTGAATATACCCTACTCAGCTTGAAATTATTTGATAGATTTTCTTAAGGGATGTAAGAAATAGGTAGAAATATTACCAAACTCACTAGAGATGAAATATGAATTTTCAAAAACGTGAAAACAGTGAATGCTGTTATTTAAATAGCGATTTATATTCCTTTAAGTATGTTTGTATGATCATGAATTACATTTTTTTATTGAAACATTTCATATTTTTCATTTATCCTTTAATAATTATTTTGAAAGGCAATTTTTCTGTATAGACTTCTGTCAAAGGGATTTGAGGTACGTCTTTTGAATTGATTATTAATTTCTGGTCAAATAATTGTTTCAGCTATGTTTGAAAAGAAACTATTAAACTCATCTACTTCAATCGAGCTATCATTGCTTTTTTGTTTAGATGATTTGTTACATAATTTATCAACTTCCACGAGTCCCTTACTCTGTTGTTTGAATTCATCAAGTAATTATCATAAGCGTCTCTTTTAGTTTTTTTTAAGTTTTCCCTATATTTTTTCCTCGTCATTTTATATATTTCATAGTCAACTGGATCTTTTGTAACATCACTTATTACTTTAGTCGCTTTTAAAT